TTTTCAGGCTTTTATGCAAGCTTTCTTTAAAAAAGGATTGGACTTATGCTTGAGCTCACATTCCAAAGCACTTTTTCTGAATCCTTTTCAAAACATGCAAAGTATTGGTATAAATTACATTTTTAAAATTGACATGCCATTTAGATTATTAAGATGACTAATGGAGCAAACATCTGCATTTCAATTATCTGTGTATTTTACAATAAAATATTCATTCTTGTTAAAATTTAAATTAATAGTTAAAACAGAAAGGATATGTAATTATTGACATTTCTCTATTTTGGGTAATCATGGGCTTTTTGTTTGCTTACTTAAACAAATAATTCTGTTACTGCAGTTGTGGAATTTAAACCTTTATCACATAAATAAAGTGAATCTTAAATAAAATATTTTCCTTGTATGCCTCATAGCATATTCTTATCCTGAGTGAAGGATTTGCCTGGAGGTGCATCAAATAATTCAGACTGTTGTCATCTGGTCTATGGTTATTCTGGGAATTAAACTTTTTTTCTTAGTTTTAAAGAAATCTCTTCCATACAACACGGAAGTGCTAATGGCAGATATATTGATAATATGAACATTTTAACTAATTATTGAATTGTTTCCAATCTCAGTCACACTTATCCATTTGGTCACATTAGTCATAACTATTTTATGTCCCACTAATTTCAGTAAATATACTTTGGATCCAATCCATTACATCAAACAGTCACCCAGTATAAACTTTGTTGAATGCAACTTACTTTCCTATTTATAACATCAATAATTAAAGATATATTTGACTGCTATCATAGGTTAGAGATGTAGAGATGTAAAGAGATTGATTACAACCACAACATTTGTTTAATCAGAAAATTTGGAACATTATATAGATCTCAGTGTTCTATTTTCATTCTTTCTCTTGCACATCTTGATATTCAATTTGTTGAGTGCTTTTCATTTAGAAAGCATTCATGAGAATGCATGACTGGATGCTGAAAAAACAGGATTTTTGTGGGAGTATAATATTCTGGGTGATAAAATTTAAATGGTGTGTGTGTGAGAGAGAGAGAGAAGGAGAGAGGGAGAGGAAGAGAGAGAGAGGGAGAGGGAGAGGGAGGGGGAGAGAGAGAGAGAGAGAGAGAGAGAGAGAGAGAGAGAGAGAGAGAG